ACCCTTTGGATTAGCTCTGCTTTAGACCCTGTGTGATAAGGTCCTTAGAAGTGCTGCTTTATTCTTATTCCTCCCCAAATGTTTTCCTTTTCATGAGTTTAGTGGGACTCAGGGTTTAAGCTCCATTTTAAAGTCAAATGTGGATTCAATAGCTGAGAGTGAGGATGGGATGCACAGGAATCTAAAATATCAATTTGCATCTACTAAGGATAATTGATGAGAAAACTAGTAGTCAAATTGCAAAAATTATGTTTTATATGTCAGCGGCAGCCAGAATTATATATGCTCAAAACTGGAAAAATAAAACCATCCCATCAGTCCAAGAATGGGTAATGAAATTAATAGACATGGTAGAATTAGACAAGCTAACCTGTCTTCTGAAAGGGAAAACCACAAGTAGATGTATAAACAAATGGGAACATGTTATGAAATTCTAAAGTAATGAATGGGGGGCTGGCAGCTTGCAATTGTTGCTTTTATAGACTAAAGTTGAAGTAAATTTTATATTGTATATAAGTAAACAACATTAGAAATAAACCTAGGTTTAAAGTAAGAGTTCAAATGTTTAAAAGAAGCACTTGCTAGGTGGAAGTCAATGTATGGGGGAAACTCTGTGAATGTAACAATGCAAGAAAATATGGATGATAGAAGATTGATTTCTATATTATTTTATATCAGTAGCCTCTTCTGAGTCCATCTCTTGATTTTTAAAAATCAAAATCTTTTGATTTTTAAAATCCACAAAACAGTGATATCTTTGATCACCCAACCAAAATGGACAAAATATGTGATGCAAGCTTTCAAAGTTCCACTGACTTCTTTATCAGCAAAGGTGTTAAGAAATCATAGAGGAGGGGTAAAAAGTGTAAAATGATGATGATGTGAGTCACAGGCTTGCATTTTCTCAAGGTGTTGTTGATGTGTTGTTCTTTGGAGGGATATCTATGCAAGCAGGTAGCCCTCCTCCTTCAGGCCATGTAGCACTGGGAACAAAGCATTCCAAAGTCTAGGAGATAAAAATCTGAATTCCATTAGCAATGCAGAAAGGTACCACTTCTGAGATCCCAGACCTCTCCATCCTTTGTGAGGTCATAGCCCCTTTTGTTAAACAGAGAACATTGAATCTCTCTCGAGAAGCCTCCATGCTTTTGCATTAGGAAAATTGTAGGTGTTGTTTTACTTGCCTAGGAATCCCTCCAAAGAACACCAATGACACCTTGAGAAAATGCAAGCCTGTGACTAACATCGTCACTTTATGTATATTTTTGTCCTGTTATGATTCTTACCATACAAGCCATTGTATTCCCTATTTCCATGGATGGATGTGAGAGCTG